GTGCCAACTTTTCATTGATATCATCAATATAAAAAATATTTTCAAAGGGCATACCAAGTAAGTCACTATATAAAATAATTGTCGATGAAAAAATTTAAAGTCCCTGTAAGTCTTAAGAAACGGTTTAGGCCTGGACACAATTACATTTAATAAGCAAATGATCAGATAAATCAAGCGAGGAGTCCACACCACCGTTCAATAAAAAATCTGTGTTGGAGCATAAAATAAGATCTACCTATAAGAGTTGCATTGCCACACCTAATTCTAGTTGGTTCATTAATTATTTGATTAAAATTATATGCATGCAATAGTGAAAGAAATCTTTGCGTGTGTGCACCATCAATATTGAGCATGTTAATATTGAAATCGCCCAAACACACGAAATTACCACATTCCAACAAATTTCTAGATATAACATCTTCAAATTCATCAAAAAATTCATTAACCCTCGTAAAGCCCGGTGGCCTATAAATAACACTTAAAATATTTTTAATTCCATTCATCCTAAACGAGATAGACAACATCTCTGAGTGATCATTCTGTATGTTATCCAAGACAGAAAACTTAATAGAATTTCTTACATACAACAAAACTCCACCCCCTCTACCAAGGCCCCGGTCCCGCCTGACAATTCTAAAACCATTGAAACCTACCACCTCATCACTCGTTACATGCGTCAACCATGTCTCTTAAACAGCGAAAATATCAAATTTATTTCTCAAAATACATTCTCTAATATCATTCATGCTACCAACAATAGACCTTATATTTATATGACCTATATTTAGATTATAATGTTTATTTTGTTTATTGGCCATCGCAATTTTTTATGATAAAAAACAAAAATAGAGAAGACATGAATAAAATTTAAGATTTAAAAGTAAAAAGATAGGGAATTACGAACGAGTTAAGCTATTTTAAAGTTCATTCTTCAAACTATCAACCTGCGCCGACGTGATAATTTTGATTGCCGAGTCCTCATTCTTTCTTACCAAAATATTATCATCCTTACACCATACGTACTTGAAACCGTGTGACTTGAGTTCCTTTGCCTTTAGAAAGAGATCGCGAGTGTGTTTCGACAGGTCTGGATTCACATAAATCCTCGTTTTGGAGTCAGCGGCTATGTTGCAAATTTCGGTGTCAAGCTGAATGGTTTTTCGTTGCTTTAGGACATTATTCCTCATATGCTCGTCAGTGAACGAGACAAGCACAGGTTTCTTAGATTGTTTGCTAGGTAATACCTTCACAGTATACTCGTCCCTTGGTACGACGATGTTCAACGCTTTGAAAGTATTTGTAACGTCAGCGTCTACATTTTCGTCTCCCTTCAAGCCAACGATTATTATATTTCTGTTCCTCTCGTTAGGTACATCTCGTTTAGAACTTTTAACGTGGACCAGTTCTCTTTCCAATTCCCCTATTCGCGCTTTCAACAGGTTATGCTGCTTCTTTAGTCGCGAATTTTTACTAGAAATAGCCTGAAATCCTTCCTTCAACTGTGTTTTACCCTCTATCATTTCATTCAGCAGAATTTACACCACCCCTTCCAAGTGTTTCATGACTTGTTGTAAACGAACACTCGAATCTATTTAATAAAACACAGTTGTGTTGGTTCTAGCCCTTATAACTCGAGAACGGCTGGACTGATTTTTATAATTTTTGCTTTTTTGGATTTGTCTTTGTCCCTACTAACATAATAAATCGAAAAAATCCAAAACAAAAAACAAAATTACTTATTTATGAAAAATATTCACTAAGCCCACATACGGCGCCATCTCCTATAACCGATACCAAGTTTACCGCCACATTTTCATTGAAACCATTTTGTATACGGCGCCATCTCTGATACCTAGAACGAAGCTCGCCGTTGCGCGGTTATTTCATTGCAGATACAGTAGAACAATGCTGCTCAGGAACTGGAGCTATTCCGAACAGAACTATTCCACTATTCCGATCAGATAGAGTGGTGCAGAAAGAATAGATCAGATGGAGTATAGTGCAGTGCAGATAGAGTGAAACAGGGCTGCGCTGGAGTTTTCGTTACATTCTTTGAATATTCCTGTGCCTGAGTTTATTTATTTAGTGGTACATTTTACAAGAATAATGCTCACAAGCTGCCTAAAAAAGGATGATGTAAAATTTTAATATTAGGTGACTTCTGATCCAGAGAGTAAACATTAAGTTTCTTCAACCAAAGCCAAATTCACCATCGAAAAAAACTGAATTTAATTCAGCTAATAAATACGTTAACACAACATATAATAGGTATTTAATAATTCAGAGGTCGTACGAAGTTCGCCGGGTCAGCTAGTATTATATAGAATTGAAAATGTATATGAGGCGCACACACAGTATTTTTATACCATAGTGTGTCGCAAACTTTTGCTAACAAAAAAAAAAACTAGGTCATTTCAGGTGAATGTCTTATTTGAACAGTTCAACAGTACCTATATTGGTGAGTAGATGGCTGCGGAACTCGCTGCGCTCGTCCCGCAGAGGTCCACCCATAAGTTCCGCAACAATCCACTCGTTTGTACTTGAATAACTTGTTAAATTATATTACTAGTTTGGTAAAGTAACATTACTAATTCCTGTTAAAAAGCAAATTGACAAAAAGTGGATAATCTTACAAATTCTGACTTTATGTAATAAGTTATTGTTCAAGTACAGGGTGTTTTTTTTATATATTGACACTCCACCTACAGCCTTCACCTTTACAAGTAGATAAAAGGGGTAAATACGTAAGTTGTACAGTATTGGCTAAATTTTTAGAATCCATGATCAGAAACAAAAATTGAATGTCAGAAATGTGAAATGTTGCATGCTTTCAGCTTTTTTCAAATGGGATGTCCTATATTTGGTTCTATATTTTTGAAAAACACAATTTTCCGATTCCAAAACTATATAGTTTGTCTGTATTTGGTTGAGCCGTCTCCAATATATTTGGTTCTAAAAATTTTAAAAATACTATCAGAGAAACCAGTACCTCAAATTTTACCTATAGCTTTCACCTGTACAGGTAGAATGGCTCACAAAATCAGTAGTAGGATAGTATTTTCAGAATTTTTGGAGCTGAATATATGAGAGACTGTTCAATTAAATATAGATAAACTATAAATTTTTGGAATCGTCGCCTTGTACTCTTCAAGAATATAGAATGAAATATAGGGCATCTTATTTGAGCCGGAAGCATGCAAAATTTCACATTTCTGACATTTGAATTTTATTTCTGACCATGGTTTCCAAAAATTCAGCCAAAACTGTATAACTTTTGTATTTACACCTTTCTTCTACTTGTACCTGACGGTAAAGGCTGTAGGTGGGGCGTCAATATATAGAAAAACACCCTGTATATTCTAGAAATTTGGTTAATATGGAGTATGAACGTGCGTATCTCGGATAATCAGGATTTTTGGGTCTTTAGACTACTGTATCAATTTTTCTGAGTGCCTTTTTTCATAAAATCTGGCTGCAAATCTCAGAATAATTTCTGATGGAGTTTGGGGGATCCCAAAGGATCATTAGGACACAAAATCTGGACAAAAAAAAATCTAAAATTACCTGATTTAGATTTTGGAGAACTTTGGAAGGTCATAACTTTTTTTCTATTAAAGATAGAAAGCTGAAATTTTCAGCGATTCTTATTCCAGTATCAGAATACAATCCCCAAAAATTTCAACTCAGTTGGACTTATATTTCCTGAGATAAAATCGTGTTAAGCAATTTGGGGTGATTTATCAATTTTTCAATTTTTTTTAGTACTTTTTTTTATAGATTTCGGCTTCAAATCTCATGGGTTTCGAGTAAAAACAAAATTGAATTTTCCCCAAACAAAATCAACTCTATTCGAAGAAAATTCTATATAAAATCCAACCGAAATTATTTTTAAGCTTTGCATATTTATAATTGGCACTGAAACGTGTCAGCTAAGAATATTTTATATCCTCATAATTTAACGAAAGACAACAATCCAAAATTAACTCCTATCGGAATAATTTTAGCTTTGATGGAATTTCAACACACGGGGAATTTTTATAAAAGATTGTGTGGCAAACAAAAATTCGGAATTTTTATACACACACCTGCAAGTTTGACATCAATTTTCTCTTGTAGCCTCTGCTTAATTTCAATGGATTTTTCACAGATTGTAGCGGATTCTTTAGGACGTATTACCGTTATTAAATGATTCGTCTTTATATCATATACCTACACGGATGGAAAAAAAATCAATATTTTCAGAGTTTTCTGATACATTCTTTGGAGTTGAACTGTTGGAAATTCAGAACAGTTTCAACCCCATTTTTTTCAATATTATTGAAAATACAGAGTTTCCAAGAAAAGGTGGATATTGACCTTAATTTTTTCCACGTTTTCCAACTTCAAGTCATGTTTATTTCAAGTTAAATATTACTCACAGTTTTACCTCTTACCGATCAATTTATTGTGATAAGAATGCTCACAAATATACAGGGGGATTAGAAAGTCCTTTTCATAATTTCCATTCGGTGGAATGTTATTTATCTAAACTAAACTTCCTTCACATTTAACCAAGACTTATAGGACTTACTCAATTTAACCTCGTCACATTGACGAATTTATTATTATTTGTTCAAGTGCCACAAACATTCACACGACTTGAAGTTGGAAAACGACACATTTTCATATCCAATTCGTATGTCGACGTAAAGAAAATTAAGATCAATATCCACCTTTTCTTCGAAACTTTGTATTTTCAATAGAGTGAATAAAAAATGAAAATGTTCGGGAAATATCAGGCTACAATTTGGTGTTGAAAACTGTTCTGAATCTCCAGTGGTTCACTTCAAAAATCTCTGAAAATTACCGACTTTCTTTCCATCCCTGTATATGATATAAAGACAAATCATTCAATAACGGTAATACAACACATTACAATCTGTAAAAAATTCATCGAAATCGAGCAGAGAAAATTAATACCAAACTTAGTGTAAAATTTCAATTATTATTATGGTTTTCAGTACTCAAAAGAGCATTTTCCATGTTCGATACGGCAAAAAGGGGAGCGATCGATTGCGAAAAAGTCAGAACAATTTTGACCACTCTGGGACACACTTACGACGACAAAGAACTGGAAAAGATGCTGGAAGACGAAGATCCGGAAGGTAAAAATGCGCTTTTTAATTTAAAAATCTTTCTGAAGTTTTGAAAGCTTTCGAATTGCCGAACAATGCGGAGAGAATTCTGGCTAAAAGGTTTTTTGCTTTGGTTGGCTAATGGATTTTCAGTTATTTTATTGAAGAATGACAAAATAATTCATTTTTTTTCACTTCTCTACTGCCTTATAAGCCAAGTGTTTTATGTTCAATATTCTAAAACTGGATTTATTCGCCTCCAAATTGAAGTTGGAATTTGGCCAAGAAAAAATTTTCCAGTTTATTAAATATATGGGCTCATTAGCTAATTGAGTGTCTGATTAATTTTCCAGGAAATGGCTCGGTAAACTTCGACTCGTTCTGCAGAGTGGCTTCGCACTTTTTGGAAAACGAAGACGAAGAAGCCTTGCAAAAAGAACTAAAAGAAGCCTTCAGGTTGTATGATAAAGAAGGTAATTAAGTCAATTAGTAAGACGATGATAGAATTCAATTTCGCCCTCCTTTACTACTTTGCCAAATTAATATTTTTCTAGTGATTCATTTATCAATATATAGATTTTGAGTTCAAAGTTTGGCTTCTGCCATTTATCAAACCAAAGAAAAATGACTTTAGTTTTGATATTTTCCACAAACAGAGTTAGTTGCATTATTCTTTTCTTTTTTGATAAACGACCTGCTATGTTTCCAGATACACATTATGGCTTTGTAATTATTATTATATACCTTTTGGAGATTGATGTTTTGTCTGGAAAAATGGGTTCTAATTTGTATTTTTGTGAATGAAAATTTGTAGAATAATTACCATTCTATTTATTTAATGAAATAAGATTTGGATCAGAATAATCTGGAAAATCCAAGCATAATGGAATTAGAAAATAAAGGAAATTCAAAAGCGTAGAGTTTTCCATGAGAAAAGATTTTGTTTTCCAGTTTTTCAACAATTTTTTTTTAAATCTTAATTTTTACATTTTAATTTTTGCTTTTTCCAGGGTCTTAAATTCAATGAATAAAATAATCCATAACTTTGGTTGTGAGTTTCATATCAACTCCCAACTTGTTTTGTATTTTGAAAAAACTCTAATTAGTAAATCCTGAAAATCTCAAGTTACTGTGATGGTTGAAAGTATTTTTCAGGAACCTTGAAAGATGATTTTACAGCAGTTTTATGATTTTTTCAGGTATTAATGAGTAAAATAATCCATAACTTTGGTTGTGAGTTTCATATCAACTTCCAACTTGTTTTGTATTATAAAAAAACTTCAATTATTAAATCCTGTAAGTTTCAAGTTGCTGTGATGCTTGAAAGTATTTTTCAGGAACCTTCAAAAACGATTTTACAGGAATTTTATGATTTTTTCAGGAATCAATGAATAAAATAATCCATAACTTTGCTTAAAAGATTCAGATCAACTCCCAACTTGTTTTGTTTCATGATAAAACTCCAATTAATAAATCCTCAAAGTTTCAAGTTGCTATGATGGTTTCACAAGGTTTTCATGATTTTCTCAAGTTTCAATAAATAGAAAAATCCATACTTTTGCTTGTGAATTTCATATCAACTTCCAATTTGTTTTGCATCATGAAAAAACTCTAATTATCCAATCCTGAAAGTTTCAAGTTGCTGTGATGGATCAAAGTATTTTTCAAGAAATGATTTTACAAAAATTTCATAATTTTCTAAGGTAGGTATCAATGAGTAAAACAGTCTGTAACATATAAACTGCCAACTTATGTTGTATCTTGAAAAAATGTTAATGAAACCTAAAAGTTTCAAGTTGCAGTAATGGCTCAAAGTATTTTTCAGGAATTTTATGATTTTCTCAAGTATCAATGAATAAAATAATCTATAACTTTGGTTGTAAGTTCCACATCAACTTCCAACTTGTTTTATATCACGAATTAATAAATATATAAAATAGGTATTCTTTCTAGGTAACGGCTACATACCTATTTCAAGTCTAAGAGAAATCCTTGCAGCTTTAGATGATCAACTCACCAATGATCAATTGAATGAAATGATTGCAGAAATCGATACAGATGCTTCAGGAACTGTCGATTTTGACGGTAAAAAAACCCATAATACTTTATATATTTCTAATATATAAAACATTTTCAATTGCAGAATTCATGGAAATGATGACTGGGGATTAAACCAACCATAATCTATAAGCCTATGTAATATTAATGTATTTATTCTAAAAATGAATTTGATTGTTTAGTTATAATTATTTTTAATCCAAAATCCTTGATTACCTTGCATTTTATGTGAATGCACCAACATTAACCGAATTCATTCTTATCTCTCTCTACTGAGATATCTATTTAGTGTTGGCACTGGAAATTTTTAAAGCCGTGCCCATTAGGAACGTCCGTTTCAGATAACAAAACTTGCCTCGAAACCGAACCGAGATAGAAACTTTTCTGGGTTAAAGCTTCCGTGAAGCTTAAACGACGAAATTTAACAAGACGTATATGCAAACTTTCTCTTTATAGAACTAGACTGCTATAGGATTAATTATTGAAGTTTGGTTGGAATTTTGTATCAAGTAAGTAACTCATACAATATGTAACATTTATTATAAACAAAACTATCAACTTTCTACAAAATCTACATAATTCTTTTGTACACTATCCACATTTTGTTTTAAAATCGCGCCACAATTTGAATAGTAATCTAAACCGCTATTCGCACCTAAAATAGAGCCGAGAGTTTCCAGCCTAGTTTTGGAACAATCAAGAGATGCAAATTGTAATAGAGGATAAAGCAATGAAGTTGTCAGTTGAAGTCCTGGTAAAATCGATTTAGATTGTATTATTATCATACTCTGGTATTGTAATATTTGAGTTGTAGAAAACCTTTATTAGAGTGTTTGATTGTCTTAAAAGTTCAAGTGTATGATGTAATGTTAAAAAGTACACTTTTAATTCCTGAAGTGCATAAAATTACATACAAAGCTTTGAAAATCTATTTGATTCTACAACTGATATTTACAAACACTAAAAAATCCTTACCTTACTCCTTGTCCTAGTAGGAATGTATTCTTCTTTGGAAGGCTTCCTCCGCTTGTCCTTTTCTTTTAAAATCATCCGAGCTGCCGCAAACGCCATATTTTCACCAGCAACCACAATTTTTCAAAAGTTCATAGTTCTTTATTAGGTCTTGGTTTTTTTAATTGATGTTTTAACTGTGAGATAACTATTTTGAATTTTAACTGAATATTGTAATGTAAAACATAGAATTTTATATTTTGCACACTAAAAAGCAGAAACTTCAAAGATTTGACAAAATATTAAACAGGAAATGTTTCCATTTCACGAAAAAGTGTAAAGAGGGCAATTTTTACTGGATTAAATTGGTTTTAGGAGGAAGTCTCGGCTTTTTTGAAAAAACAAGTAAGAGTTTTGTAGCTTATATTTGTTTTTGACGGGTTTAAGAGAGTAGAAATCTTTATTTTTCATCCAATATATCCAGTTCGTGTTAAAAAAAAACCTTATAAAATATAATTGTCCCAGACTGAAAGGCAAACATCAAAAACTTCCACGTGTATTCGATAACGTTAAAAAATTTAACAAATATTTGAACAAGGGAGCAGTGAGTTCGATTTGTTTTAAAACGTTTTTCAAATAGGAGATATATTTGCATGTGTGTCCTTTGGAAAAATAAATATTACATTTTGATATTTTTTTTTTAGGTCAAAATACTTATTGCATAAGCCTCTTGCATACATATTTACGACTTGAAAATTTTGTGAAAGAAAACTTAAATGTTTGCCATGCTTTTAAAACTTTGTTCCATTGTATAGGAAATATTTACGCGACAACAATTTAAAAATCTCTTTTTGCCAAATATGAAATTCACTATGGGTAATTTGCAAAAAGAATTTTCATCTCAGTCGAAAAGGCTTAGAAACTTCAAAGTGTGTGTTCATGTTTTTGTACTTACCTATGTTTGTGGGATTGAAGACAATATTTTTCATAATAATAAGTAAGTCTACGTAGCATTGCGAATAATGCTCAACATTACATCTTTCATATTTAAATAATAGGGCAAGGTAGCTTGGTATCTGGTGGCAAAGTTCATTTACCTCTATTGATATTCCCAAATTTGATGGGTTGTGTAAAGAGTGGTTCGGTTTTAAAGAGTCATTTAATTCTATGATTGATGGATGATAGCAAACAACTCAACACTTTGCAAAAGTTCCAATATTTAAAAAATGCTTTGATTGGTCAGGCCACGGACAAAGTAATACGTATAAGGCATGTCAACATTGTAATAAAAAACATAATGTTATGAAGATGCACATGTTAACACACTCAGATAGCCATCTTTCTGAATGTGACACTTTGCAAAGTAAAATTTAAACAAAAAAGCCTTTTGAGAATGCACATGGTAACACACTGGGATATTCATCCTTTTGATTGTGACACCTGCAAAGCAAAATTTAAAAGAAAAGGCGATTTGAAGATACACATGTTAACACACTTAGATATCCATCCTTCTGAATGTGACACTTGCAAAGTAAAATTTAAACAAAAAAGCCTTTTGAGAATGCACATGGTAACACACTGGGATATTCATCCTTTTGATTGTGACACCTGCAAAGCAAAATTTAAAAGAAAAGGCGATTTGAAGATGCACATGTTAACACACTTAGATATCCATCCTTCTGAATGTGACACTTTGCAAAGTAAAATTTAAACAAAAAAGCCTTTTGAGAATGCGCATGGTAACACACTGGGATATTCATCCTTTTGATTGTGACACCTGCAAAGCAAAATTTAAAAGAAAAGGCGATTTGAAGATACACATGTTAACACACTTAGATATCCATCCTTCTGAATGTGACACTTTGCAAAGTAAAATTTAAACAAAAAAGCCTTTTGAGAATGCGCATGGTAACACACTGGGATATTCATCCTTTTGATTGTGACACCTGCAAAGCAAAATTTAAAAGAAAAGGCGATTTGAAGATACACATGTTAACACACTTAGATATCCATCCTTCTGAATGTGACACTTGCAAAGTAAAATTTAAACAAAAAAGCCTTTTGAGAATGCACATGGTAACACACTGGGATATTCATCCTTTTGATTGTGACACCTGCAAAGCAAAATTTAAAAGAAAAGGCGATTTGAAGAAGCACATGTTAACACACTCAGATATCCATCGTTCTTAATGTGACACTTGCAAAGCAAAATTTAAACGAAAATACTATCTGAAGAATCACATGATAACACATTCGGATATTCATCTTTTTGAATGTGACACTTGCAAAGTAAAATTTAAACAAAAAAGCCTTTTGAGAATGCACATGGTAACACACTGGGATATTCATCCTTTTGATTGTGACACCTGCAAAGCAAAATTTAAAAGAAAAGGCGATTTGAAGATGCACATGTTAACACACTCAGATATCCATCCTTCTTAATGTGACACTTGCAAAGCAAAATTTAAACGAAAATACTATCTGAAGAATTACATGATAACACATTCGGATATTCATCTTTTTGAATGTGACACTTGCAAAGCAAAATTTAAACGAAAGAAGAGGCATATATCATATCATCAAACTCGGAGGAGAAAAATTTAAAAGGCAACATATGCAACGCTAAGTTCAGAACCAGGGGGTAATTTGTGTGGTACCTAGTGTAAATTTCATGTAGGTAGGTAGTTTTTGCTTCGCTTGATAAGGACAATTCAATAGGTGAGCGCAAAAATACTAATTCAGCGTTATTTTTAAGTGAACCTAAAATTGTAAACAATGATTGATATTTCTGATTTTAACGGAAAAATGCATAAGGTTAGGGCGCTATTAGATTCGGGGTCTCAGTCAAGTTTAAAATGGATTTAACATCATTAAATATTCCAAAAAATATAAGAATTAGGTACTGAAGGACAACATTATTTGGGTAAAAATATGCCTAAAATTCAGAATACGAAACTTGGTTATGGGTTATTGTGGGCCCCATTGAAGTTCAGGGTGAGCGAAATAAACAAGTGTACCAATTTGGAAATACAGGGGCAACTCGAAAAGTTTTGGATGTTGGAAGATTTCCCAGATGAACAGAAGTTAAGTAAGGATGAAGTCCAATGTGAGGAAATATTTAGGGAAACTACAGTTAGGCACGGAAATGGTAGGTTCATTGTAGAATTACCAATGAAAGAAAACAGGTCAGAAACAAAATTTGAATGTCAGAAATGTGATATTTCGCATGCTTCCAGCTTTTTCCAAATGGGATGCCCTATATTTCATTCTACATTCTTGAAGAGCACAATGCCCCGATCTATATTTGATTATTTTAAAATGGGGGGGGGGCAGTTGCTCCCCACTGTATCCGCCACTGTAAGCATAATTGCTGGAAATTTGTTAATGCCAAAAAAAAAAAATAAATATGGGAAACCCCTTTGAAATACACTTCCAAAATACTACATTAACTACATTGGAACAGACTGCTGAGTTATTTGAAAACTATTTTTCCACAGTGTATATAAATGGTCCTATTTCAGGTGAATGTAACCATATAAGTTAACCACTGATTTAGGAAATTTGAATATCTTGGAGGTTGAGGTGTACATCTTTAAAACTAAAAAATAATCTTGGTATTGGGTCAGATAAAATACCTGTCATAAGGAAAGCAGGCCTATTTATGTTATATACTATAGGTTTAAGTTGTACCTATTATTAAATTAAACTTTGATTACAAGCCTATAATTTGCTACTTTATATTGCAACTATAGATGACTGAATGTGTTTATAATAGTTTTTATATGTAATAGTCTAAGAGCCAATGAACTTTTAGCGTAAAAAGTTTCCTATGGACAATTTCTTGCTTAAACGATGTAGTTTTATCCTCCGTGATCGAAAACCATAGTCTGGCAGCATGTAGTGGGGAAGTTTGTCGTAGGCATAATTAATTAGTCATTAAAAAATTCACCAAATTCGAAATACTTGCCGATGGTATTGACGCAAAAATTGTTTTGCGGCATATCATTTGAAAATGTGCCATTAACAAGGCTGTAATAATGCCAGGCGGTTTTCACTGGTTTAAAGCCTTGCCAGACGCTCTCAAAATACAAAAAAAATAATAAAAAAATCGAAAAACTTGCCGAAACCCGTTTTTTTTTTACATTGAAGAGAAAAAAATTGCTAATCGAACAAACCTAGTGCGAAACGGTTTTATCGAGGATTAATCCTTGCCAGACGACGCCGAAGTTCGTTATTT